TGTGGCTTCGAAACCGTTTCCAGGCAAGTACCAATGTGACTTTTTCCGAGTTACATGTACTTTCTATGATTATTTAGACACCACAGACATACGGTGAAGGTAAACATCGTGAGGAAACGTGGTGATTAATGCTCAAAACCTTCTCCGTGTGAGAAGAGGCCTTTGCTCAGCAGTGGGCACTTATAGGCTGATGGTGATGATGATGGATTGTCAGACTCTTACTGACTAAATACCCCCCTTTTCCTCCTCCTGTTTCGGGCCGAGGCCGCGGTACATTACTGCGCTTAAACTCACAATCCCGTTTAGAAACCTCCTTCTTGGTTGTCAATTTAGCTATGCTTAATTATTCTATCAACATATAAACGTTTTTTTCAAAATCAATTGAAAATAAAGATTCGATGCGCATTTCACGTATGAAAGCGTTACAAACAAATAAATCCGCTTTCGCTTTTATAGTATTAAATATAATGAAATTATATTGATCGTTTAGTAAATTTAAACTTGGAATGAATTCCAGTGACAAAATATAATTACATAAGGCTGATTTTTCAACGGTTAGATTAAAGTTACATGGGAATTATTATGATGCTGTCGCGTCAGAATGTTTGTATAAGACAGTGACAGCAACAATTTTATTCTTCAGATAACATTAAATTTATCTGACCATTGAAAAATCAGCCCTTTGTTTTTTTAATTTGTATCGTTATTTTTTATTATATTTTTGAATCCATAACATATTAAATAGAAAATACGGTTATTCAAAAAGGTGAATCACTTTTTAACTTTTAATAATTTATTTTTCTGACCTTACCAATTATTTTTGTAGGTAGTTGAATGCATGATAATTTGCATTGAGATTTGAACAGACAAAAAATAACTTAACAGTTGGTACAAGACAGCTTCAGTTAATAAATCATATACATTTCTAATTTAATTTTCTGCATCAGCGCTTCTTCACAGCGTAAAATGTATGATCACCGATTACTATAAAATAGGATGCATGATATTTCAGTGTACTGAAGTACTTCAGTGAAATGAATTGAAAGTTGTAATCCAATTTCAAATGTGTTTTTTTTTATATACGACCTTATTTTAAATACATTTTTTTCAGATTTGGATTTAGAATTCTATATTCGACTTACCCGTATATTTTTGCTTAAAATAAGCAGACCTTGAAAGGTCTGCTTTCACGACTGAATTCGTGGTAACTCAAGATAAAATAGAAGAACAATACTTAGGTGCACGAACGCCGGCGTTCGCTTGGGGTTTGATGAGTAAAATAATGCATAATTAATTCATTTGTGTTATATAGTTTTCGAATATGTCATTTTAGAACTTTGCAAACATGATCTTAAAGTTTCTGTCATTTAGATGTTATACTAAATAGGTATACGGCTTGTCCCCATAACAGATTGGAGGTTGTTGTTGGATAACAGGTTGGTCCCCATAAGTAATTTCAAGATCTTTTTCTAAATCTTTTTAACTAAATTTTGAAGTTCATTCCGCCTCTCGACAAAAGTAAATACAGAAGTTTTTGAAATTTACAGTTTTAAGAATTCAATTTTAATTTAATAATTAATCGTAGTATTTCTACACATACAGATATTACTAATCTTAACAACAGCTGTAAAACGTGTAATCGCAAAAACCCGATAAACAGCGCATCACTAAAAAACATCGTTCATTCATTCATCCGTTCATTCCTAAAGGTACATTTACACTGCCGGAAGCGAGCACAGATAATTACATCATTTTTTACTCGACAACTTCAATTAAGTCGATCTCGATGCTTATCTTAGTTTCCCAGTAACAACTCACACAGTCCCGTTGTGTGTGTTACAAATTGCTCAAAAAAAACAACATCAAGTACTGAAAGCATATGAAGGTATGCTATACTAGACATTCAAATATCAACTCTATCTTTATCTACTGTAAGGTTGAAAGTTTGTCAAAATATATTTGACAGATTTAGTATAGGTTGAGGTGCTGTTTGAGGTTATAACCACTTTATAACGTGTCTAGTTCGAATTCAGCTCCTTTAAGATGTTTTTGCAGTATGTATACTTAAGTCTGCTAAGAGATCGTGAATGGGGTTTTATTTGGTGTGTTCTTATTTGAGTGGCTTATTAGATTAGTGGTCGCTATGAAGGAGTTATGATTCTCTCTGATCTGGTGGATAGGTTTCCATTAACTAAATTAACATCCCATCAGTGTATTTACCGAAGACACAATCCAACCTAAGATAAGAAAGAAACTATACTAAAAAACACTAACTACCCATCAAAGGCCGATAACTCCCTTGAAACTCCTTTGGTGTTGAGAGCGCCTCCTTTAGAGTATTTATGTTCTGTGACGAGTGCTCTTAATTAGGCCTGGCGCCGATAGTTTACTATCAGGGGATTCGTTTGCCGACCGATACCAATACCTACTATAGCAAAAAACTCTTTATTTTTTTTATTTATTTCAGTGTCAGGTAAAGGTAGTACAACTAATATTATTGTGTTTTAAATAATAACATTGTTTGAGTTTAATAGAATAATGCGTATATAAATATTAACTAGTCCTCGCGATTCCAGCCCAGGCATTCCCAGGATCCAAAATTAATAAATAAAAATCCTTACAGTTATAATATACTCTCAGTTCACTGGTTTTAGTGTTTAAAATGGTAAATGAAATAGTAAAATAAAATGCACATTTTTCTAAATTAAAACAGATAAAATAATTCACGGTGAATAAATAATTAGGGTGAATAAACCATTTTGTTTTTATCAAAATAGCTTAAAAATAAAATAAACTACCTACAATGAAGTAATATAATTTCGCGAATTATACTTATTATATAAAAATAACGGATACATAAATTCAACTGCTAATTGTTTTAGTTCAGCCTACCGTTTCGCGCGTGTGAATAAGTAAACACAAAACTGTACTTTACTTAAGTGAGGTCAAATCTTTAAATACTGTAACTCTGTAGTTATTTACGTATTAAACTGTACAATATAAAAAATCATTAATACTTTTTAAATCATAGTGTCATCAATGACAGGGTATTGTAATTATAACGTACTAGCGACCCGCCACGGCTTTGAACGGATGCAATGTTGACATTTACTCAATTTCCCCACAATATAATAATATTTCTACATAAACGAGAATTTTTTGAGCTTAGATAACTGATAGAGCGCTCAGAGTGCGTGGAGACAAATAACCAATGTATCAATTCAAGTGCCTTAACTATTTTCAGACAGGAGAATCCTACCATACAATTTTTAATTGTCATTCAATAACAATAAAAACTAATTTCTATGAAACTATAAAACTAAAAAAAGTGAAAGGTTAGTTAGTTTTTTTTAATGTGATAGGTCGGCAAACGAGGAAACTTATTACCTGATGGTAGGTAAGCAATCAGCGCCACCCGCAACAACAGAAGAGTTACAAGTGCCTTGCCGACCTTTTGGGGATTAGGGATTTGGGAGATTTAGGGATTGACCTCACTCACACGGTGAAATACAACGCAGTGGTTGTTTCACGTCGGTTTTCTGTGAGGCCGTGGTATCGCTCCGGTCGAGCCGACCCATTCGTGCCAAAGCATGGCTCTCCCACACTTATAGTTATAAGTATTGTAAAGAAACGATCGGAACATAACAGTATCTGCGTAGATAATCATAAAATTTTATCGATACACATTCCTATGATTTGATTCGATTAATTAATTTAAGTATTGCCAGACTACTGTTAAATAAACTATTATATTGTTATTTTTATAGATAGTTTTTTATTTTGTTTCGGTGTGCAAAGATTCTGATTTCGAAATTTTTTGGCAATTATTTTAGATATCTTAGTCGAGTCAGTTCAGGTATATCAATACTCATAATTAAGTTTTAAAAAAAGTCGTAACTCATTATTGATGTTTCGATAGGTTTCGATTAAATATAAATATTGAATTAGACAAATACATTTTCAAATACAAAATATGTCATTTCATACCAACGAATTTAATAGTTCGTTCGATAAGTTCGTTCATTCATGAAATCGCATGTTAAATAGAAAAAAGGCCTAACTCAAAAATGAGGATATTCCAAAATTGAACCTTATTATTGAAGCATAATTTTTAAGATTGAAATACTTTATTTTTTAGTTAGGTCTCTTTTCCGTTTAACAAGCGAAATATGAAATATCATCTTTTTGTATGTATGTCTCACTTATAATACGATACGCCATAACACTAAGGACCTAAAGAAATACTTATTAATTCTCATACTTAGTTTTTACGATAGTAAATTTTTATGTTCACTAATCACGCATCGGTAATATTTATAAATCTTTGCCAATATTATAAAGAGCTTAAGGTACATCTGTAATGAATAAACTCAAAAACTACTGTTATGATTTCAAAAATTCCTTCATCATTGGAAAGCTACGCTCAGCCTGAGTAACATACGCTTTATTAAGATTAGAATATCAAAAGAAACATATATATTCGTATGAAGCAAAATAATACAGCTGCACAAAAAAACATTAGGTACAGAAAAAAACAAATGTGATAAAATCAACACTTCATTGTATAAAAACACTCTACATAACAAGTTGTGCTACTCAACGTAGACGAAGCCGTATATAAACATCATGAACTTGACGCGACAACTGTACCTCTTGAGTGAATGGTAGTAAAAAGCGTACTCACACAGATAAAACTTGTTACTGTAACAGTTATGCCGCAACTTGCAACTCACTATTGATTTAACGTCCAACCGACGACCGTTACTTAGAAGGTAGCTGTCGAAGTGTCTTAAGTTAATATGAAGATGAAAATAAACATCCATGATAGAGAGAAAATAGATTGACTATTCTTTATTGTACTCCAGATAAAAAAAACCTAAATCCGTTGTGGCGAGTTGTTGGGCAGTGGCGACCCCAGGGACCTGACTCCCGAGAGGTGTCTTGTTCTTCATCTCCAGTTAGTCCTCGTGGAGTGAACATTTATGAGGAACGAAGCCCTTCTACCTCATTCTTGCCTTAATTGACTGGCTTGAGTGGATATTCGCAAGAGTAGGAGTTGAAGGAGACTCGGGGGAAGGATTGTTTTTCAGTAAGGTGCTGGTAGGAGTCTTGACCGTACTTCCGGGATTACTCGGATAGCCGTGGGATGCTTCTCCTTCTCCAAGCAGCTCAACGTTTGTTGCCCCCGTGTCCCTACAGGCTAGCGGCTGTTTCCGGGGGCCCATTAATTGAGTTTGTCAGTCACCTCCTGCCGTTTATCCGTATGTATCAATATTGGTCAGGGGCAAGGGCCATAGTATTTCCATAGTTATCATATCCACCAGTCCATAACAACCCATAACCCTTTCAATTATTACCATATTTCGCAGTAGTCCTGCATCAACCGGGGATCATCCTTGGGTGCGCTTGCATAATGCATACATAGATAATTGCCGGCTGATGTCCCATTTCACTTATGTAAAAGTTGTTCAACCGGCCTCTGCGAGTTGGCTTCGGCCCCTCGTACGCCTTCCATAGGTCCGGAATCTTGTGGTCCCGTGAAAGGAAAGAAATCATCATTGATAAGGCTGGGAGAGCCATGCTTTCGATGAACGAATGGGTCGGCTCGACCTGGAGTGATACCACGGAACTCACAGAAAACCGGCGTGAGACATCCTTGTGTTTCGCCGTGTGATTGAGGTTACGGAGGCCCAATCCTTCCCCTCCCCAAATCCCTAATCGCTAAAAGTTTGGCAACGCACTCGTAACTCCTTTGTTGTTGCGGGTGTCCATGGGCGGGGCTGATTGCTTACTATCAGGTAATCCGTATACTCGTTTGCCGACCCATTACATAAAAAAAACATAAGTAGAAGATAGATAGGATATTCTTTATTGTACTCCATATTAATAAAAAACTCATGAAACAACGAACCCAAAAGATAGTACAATTGGCGGTCTTATCGCTAAAAAGCATTTTTTCCAGACAACCTTTGGATGGAGTTTAACTGTAGAGGAATTTATTACCGTGATGATCTTCTTGGTCTTCCATTTTGATGGGGGTTTGCCTCCACCATCTCCATGTTTCGCAGACAACTTACTTATCTTGAGATCAGCTGGGGTGCCTGGGGTAGTGGGGCAAGCGCAAAAAGGAACCGCGGCCTCGGCCTGGACCAGGAGAAAGAACGCCTTCGCCTTACCCTGTTCGAAGAAAGACATTAGATAATATTCCTCTTAAAAAAGAAATGGATTTTTAGATACTGTTATATCTGACTCACACGCTGTAGTTGTTTCACGTCGGTTATCTGTGAGGCCGTGGTATCATTTCAGTCGAGTCAACCTAATAAAAAAACCCCACTTTAACACAAAATGAATAACCTATCGCTACAACTAGAAATTACAGTCCCTTTTTAAGTCCGGACATAACCATGATATGAATAATACTAAAATGAATTTAATCAACATTTCGTTATCCAAATGTAAATCAAAAATTACCAAAATAAACTGAAAAGATTGTATCACTACCAACAAAGCTTAAAACTAACATCATTAAAAGCACTAGAAAATTCAAGCAATAACTAATAAATCATATAAATATCTATTACAGCAAACCGTTGAACTAACCAGTATGACCACTAGCATGAGATTTCTATACTAAAACCTATTTAACATTCCCATCGTCCAATAAACTTTTGACAGTGACACTAATTGGCTGCACAAGCCCGTAATCGCTAGTGCTGCCATCTGGGAAGCGCAAAAACGCTTTTAAGGCTTGGTTGTAACTTATACCGACATATAAACCTACTTAATGATTTACGACATCATTAATCATGGTCTAAAGATCATTGTTATTAAACAGTTATATTACCTATACTTATAAATATTTAATCATGATTCTATTAAGACCCTGATAATCTTGCTCATTGTATTTTATTGTATTCAAATATTATTAGCAGACGGTAAAATGGCAGCGGAATTTATTACATCTTCGTCGTCAATTTATAGGACGCCAAATAAACAAATTCTAATGAGTACAATTGTGGGATAACCAAGCCTTGGCACGTATGGATCGCCTCGACCGATTGATACCAGACTTCTCACAGAAAACCGGCATGAAACAACCACAGCGTTGTGTGAGTGAGGCCCAATCTTTTCTCTCCCCCCATCACTCCATAATCCTTAAATATCCGAAACCCTAATTCTCAAAAGGCCGACAAAGCACTGGTAACTCCTCTCGTGTTGCAGGTGTCAATGGGCAGCGCCGATTGCTTACCATCAGGTAATTCGTGTATTTTCTCGAAGGGCCTGAATAGAGCTTGCTTGAGGCTATGTCGACAACTTTATTGGACATTAACCTTCGTATGTCTTGACGCTATCTAAGAAATTGGGGCCAGGAAATCTCGCACAGCTGTGCCTCCGCCCACGAAGACAAAAGGAGGTGGTTCCGTAACTGTTCTCCACAAATATTTCAAAGCTTAATAACATATAATAATACACCTTAAACACATACAAACATGAACTATAATTATTTAACAGTAATTAATTGTTTTAGACTACATATGTTATTATTTTGTAGACATTTAAATTAGTGATTGGTTTCTGTGTTATTTATGTACAGCTATATTTTTTTTTTATGTAATTGGTCGGCAAACGAGCTGACGGATTACCTGATGGTAAGCAATCAGCGCCGCACATGGACACCCGCAACGGAGGATTAACGAGTGCGTTGCCGACCTTTTAGGGATTAGGGATTTGGAGATTTAGAGATTGAGGAGGGATTGGGGGCGGGGAAGGATTGGGCCTCCGGTAACCTCACTCAAAAGGCGAAACACAACGCTGTGTTTGTTTCACGCTGGTCTTCTGTAAGGCCGTGGTATCACTCCGGTCGAGCCGACCCATTCGTGCCGAAGCATGGCTCTCCCACACTATATGGATATTTTATTAAATTTTTAACTAAATTTAAATTTGTGTCAAGTAGTAATAGTTTGTAGTCCTCTGATCATACCTCCGGAAAGTGATATGATGCATCATCACCAGCCATTTAACCATTGCTAAGCAAAGACCTCACTCTCACACGAAAAGTTTTGAGCAATAATCGCCACTCTTGCTCAATCCTGATTGGCGATTTCAAACTTATAATTAGAAATTATAGGTCCAGCTTATCTTAAGTTAGATTGTAGAGGGATAAGGGGAGGATTGCACCTCTGGTAACCTTACTCACGCGGAAAAACACAAACCTATGGTTGTTTCAAGCTGGTATTAAGCAAGGCCGTGGTATCACTCCGGTCGAGCTGAGCCATTCGTGCAGAAGCATTGCTTTCCCACACTTAAGGATTACTTTACTTCTTTACTAGAGAAACTATCACTTTATGTAAAATACGGGTCGTAAAAATATAAAATGGACATAAAACACACACTGAATGTACTTCATTTACATCTTAAATAATATAATATATGTAATAAATATATCATAACTGTAGGTACAGGTTATTTATTAAAATAATTAAAACATATTCCGCAGAAAATAAACTCAATTACCTCTATATCTAAACTCGTTAAAATCATATAAATTCATTATGTACGAGTATGTGTAATAAATTAATAGAATGATATAATTTATTCTTATATGAATTGAAATAACATATAAGTCGTAAAAATAAGTTATTGATAAATGCAGAATTAAGCTTTAATTTAACTGCATTAAAGACGGGTTCTGTATTATTTTAAGAGCATTTATGAGATATGGGTTTGGATCTTGGAAACTACTGAACCGATTTTAATGAAATTGTAAGTGAGGTGAGAGAGAGTATCAGACTCTTACTGACTGTAAACCCGCCGTTTCTTCTCCTGCTCTGGGCCGGCCGCGGTTGTGGGGGGGTTAAGGAGCAAGCACATTAAGGGTACCTTGTTGTTGTTGGCACATCAGTACTGTAGGGCCCCATCAGTGGTCTGTTAGCTAATTGCGAAAAAACTTATAACGTATCGTAACGTAACGTAGTATTATAATAAAGTTTATTTTTTATTAAACTAGCGCCCCCCCTCCCCCGCCCCCCCCCACGCTTATCACAGGTCCAACTATCTGGCTAACAAAGTGACACTTTTACCGATCTTCCCCTCTACTTTTGTAATATTTTCTTTGATGAACCTTCTCCTTATAAACACAATAAAGAAAGGATTTTATTAGCAATTTTATTGGTATAAGTCGGCAAACGAGCAGACCGATTACCTGATGGTAAGCAATCGGCGCCGCCCATGGACACCCGCAATACCAAAGGAGTTACGAGTGCGTTGCCGGCCTTTTGTGGATAGGGGTTGCGGATATAAGGATCGGGAAGGGATTGGGCCTCCGGTAACCTCACTTACACGGCGAAACACAACGCTGTGGGATGTTTCACGCCGGTATTCTGTGAGGCCGTGGTATCCCATTCGTGCTGAATCTGGCTCTCCCACACTATTTATGCGCTTACCAACAGATACTACGATTCATTTTTATATATAAAGATATATTGCCAGGTTTTTGACAACATATTTACCATCTGTTTTGTGGTAGTATGGTAATTATTATAAACGCAAACTATGAAATCCGTAAAGTGGGCTTACCACCCTATAGCACGGATCCATAAAAACTGACCAATCAGGTTATAGAAATAGATACGACCGACGCACCGGAAGCGCATTTTACACTTAATCGATTGAAACTAATGGATGTCGAGAGATTGCATAAATTACCGGCTTGAACATTCATAATTGATAAATTACTGCAAAAAGTTATTTCATTTTAAAACTGGTTAGGTGTAATAATTGTGGAATAAGTACATGCACATTGCGATTATTATAACGTCTATCCTAGTCCTAAGCAAAGCTGGTACATGAAGAAGGGGTAGCAAGGAAAACGAGCTGATGGAACAACTAATGGGCACTCTGTTTCTTGAAAACATGAGGCAGAGATGTATCATAATTTTAACATGAAAACACAATAATATGGAATGAATAGACAAATAATTCAAGAAATCTGCTTTACAGTAACTGTTTTTTCCCTTTGACAGCCCCGACCTAGCGAGGGGGTGCTTGCGTTAAAATGGCATAAGACTAGTGTTGCCCGCCTTCACTTAGTAGGATTTTATTCCTATCAATAGCAATATCTAGCCACACAGAGGCAGTATTTAAGTAGGCAAAAACTTGGCTTCATCTTCAGCAATAGCTTTTTTGAAGGGCTTTGATTCAAGTAAGCCATACCATATTAAAAGTTGCACATTGCAATTGTCTTCATGATACATGCAAACTATTAGTTATGTATGTACCACGCCAGAAGTTCTGCACCAGCGTTGGTTCTTGGTTTTCTATGAGGCCTTGGTACTCCAGTTGAGTGTCAGCTCGTAACGAAACCATTTTAATCCAGATATATTCATCTCCTTTTGTGTCTTCGGCTCTTTGCGTCGTTATCTTCATTACCAAAAGTTGTGACTCCTTAGTTTTAACGTGATGTTATGGATTGTTTTACACCAGTGCATATTAATGCCCAAGATTGTTAAGGCCCAATTCACGGAGGCCCAAAACTTCCCCTTCTCTATCCACAATCCCCGGAACCCTAATACCAAAAAGCTGACGATGCACACGTAACTCCTAAGATGTTGCCAGCGTCTATGGATTTCGATAGCTTACCATCAGGGAATCCAGCTGCTCGTTTGCAATCTTGTCACGTAAAAATATCTGGTCCCACCAACTGACAATATGGTACCCAATCAGGCTTTATATCGACCAATATTTTAAAAATTAACTTAAAATTGTAATGCTCTGCATCATCACACAGATCTCGTGATCTACTGTTATTCGTGTCTGGGCAATCATTAAACAGTCGTTAGTAAAAGAAGATATTATAGTCTTGTTAGCAAAGCCATTTTTTTGTTGCTCTCGTTCTCTGTGTCATGTATTCATGATTCATCATCATCATGACCATTATGCGATAAATAAGTTGATTACAAAAACGTTGAAGGGGCCGAAGGTTAAATCGCCTGCTTCTCATGTCTGAGACAATGTAGTGTAACTTTTCCCGGGTCATATGTACTTTCTAAGTTAATTTACACAGAATCCTTTCCTCAACAGTGGGAAGTTGGCTGATGATGTAAGTTAATTCCAAAGTATCGCGACTAGTTATTATTCCACTGTTTATTAGTAGACCAGAGGCGTAAGTCACACAGCAGGAACAACGCCATTTTTTTTTAGACAAACGGAAAACAAACTAAGTATGTCCTAGGTCGGAATACGATCAGACGGATTAAGGACACTCGCAATACCAAAGAAGTTACAACGAGTGCATTGCCGGACTCTTGTAAATTGTTGTTGTAATGGTGTACTTTCCTTAGACAACAACATGTTATTTAAATACAACTCATAAACCAGTTTAGGGCACAGGTGTGAATCCTGGTATAAATCCAGGTACAATTTAAATCCGAAATCTTTATTTCGAAATCAGAGATCCCTATACAACATTTCTCGGTATACTGTTTTACGTTTATATATCATTACGTTACACTCCGTTTCGCTACATTACTCGTCCATGCACGTAGCAAGTTATCAATCCATATTCCAAAGCAATGAACTGTGAAGATGTTTTATTGACTTTTTTGCGGTGATCCCAAATTATGGTTAGATAAAATTGTAATGATTGCTTGGCGTACCTCCAGTACTTTACTTGGGTCCGTAAATTACATGGTTAGATCTTCGTGATCTCGATATTTATTTATTAGTATGTTTTTTTTTCTTATCATCGGAATTTCGATTTTACATGGATTAAAATGAGATTAGATTAGAAATTGGTTGTTCTGTTTTTTTTCTGTGTGGATTTTGATTGTTTTTGTTGTAGTCGTATTTCTTATAAAAACTATAAGAAACTTAAAATTCTATTAATTGTTTGTCGAAATCGAATTTGATTGGCAGTGCTTTTAAAAATATCAATTCAACAATCATCAATCAAACTCAGCCAAGGTTTTCAATAACACAAAACAGTTAGTTTCAACAAAAAAAAACATAGCACTATCATCATAATCAATTTACAATTCACCACGCTAAAACTAAATACATAATTATAATAGATAAAAATTTAAATTACACTTGCCACAAAACAAGTGTATACCTAAGTATGGAAGTATAAAAAATCGATGATTGACTATCGTATTTTTTTTAAATTACATACTTATAGTGGCCGGGAGAGGTCGTTGCTCCCGTGGCCTTGCCGACAGGTATGCGCACACGCAACCCATCTGCCACTGTACTTGCGACTTGCGTAATGACCATTTCTAAGAGGCAAGACATTCATTTCACCTAGTTGATTGGTTGGAAATGAGGTTATTTGCCGTATATTGATACTTTTGATGGGATTATACTGTTTCCTGGTTCAACAATAAACTGTGTATATGTAAATTTGAACAACAATCTACACAATTAGATATTGACACCATCTTGTCAATATCTAATTGTGTATCTTCTTGCTTTCTGACTTTGGCTTTGTCTACATTTCATAAAGCTTTACTGTGGAATAATGATGAGCTTATTAAAATCAGTTTAGTGGTTATTGAGATTTTGGCATTCATTTTTTTATGGAATAGGAGGCAAACGAGCAGACGTGGGGAGTCACAGGTGCGTTACCGGCCTTTTAAGAAGGAGTACGCTCGTTTCTTGACGGTTTGAAGGTCGTATCGGTTCGGGGCAGAAAGTTACGGGTGAATCGCAGAGTTGTTGACTGCCAACCATCTAGCTTTACAAAAAGAAGCCTTGAGTTCTTCCTAACTATAATCTAGCTTTGTGTAAAACTTCACCCAGATTTGTCCAGCAGATTTTACGTGTAAGGGTAGCAAACATGCATCCACCCCTACCTATAAACTTTCGCCATCATGATGATTAGTAGAATATCATGTTCTTTTGTTATTCATGTCAAGCAGGTTCCTTAGACGACAATCTTAGCTTAGCCAACACAATTAACGTCAAATATAAGATAATTATCTTAAGTACCCATCGCGCAGGCGACACGTATAACAGTACTTGCATAATATTGCTTAGTAATCAACTAGCAATGGATGACCCAAGCCTAAGAGTACATGATGTGCATGTTCACTTCAAGAATTAAGTGCCTACTTGCAATAATGGCCACTATTAATATAATATATACCGTTAAATAAATTTTACAAACACATTCCAATTTACTCAATATCATCTCTAAGGAACAAACTAAATAAATATCGGAAAATAATACATATTATTTGTTTTGTGTTTAAGTGACTTTAATGTACAAAAAGTTGTATTTTTCGTTAAAGATGACTTTAAACGTAACGAACGAATCCCAAAGGTTATTCTTGGACGAACAGAATTAAATAACTTATTAAGGGCAAATTTTTCAATGGTTAGATAAAAGATATCTAGGGAATAATTATAATGCTGTCACGTCAGAATGTTTGTATAAGACAATGACAGCAACAATTTTATTCCTCAGATAACATTTATCTGAATACTGAAAAATCAGCCCTAAGGATACAAAATACTTTACTCAAAACAGTCAACCTGTTTAAGAGCTACGACACACGAGACAGACTTACAACTGATGGACTTATCAACCTGTTTCTCAAGTTGATTTACTCAGGATTTGAATCTAGATAGCTTCGAATCGATAAGGTGATTATCTCATGTTAAATTGGTGAGCAGCTTATCAACAAGGTGCAAGTAGCTAACTGTCTGTCCTCCGACAGATTTAATAAAATGTCTGCAGTTGATTTACTATTTTCGACGGTCTGTTTTGGTTTCAGAATTGTGAACTGTTTAGTTAGTTCTTAAGTCTTTCAATATTTCCTATTAAGCAAAACGACTCGAGATAAACCCAATCCCAATTCGGTTCAATCCTTCCCTCCCCCAACCCCTCCACAATGTCCAAATCCATCTAACTCCTCTGCTGTTGCGGGGGCCCATGAGCGGCGCTGAATGCTTACCATCAGGTAATTCGTCTGCTCGTTTGATACTCGTATCACATAAAAAATAACCATCTGATGAGCACAAATATGGTTGCCCCGTTCAAAATACACTGTTAATTTTACAGGTTAATCTGTTAAAACAAATAAACTAGCTTTAGTTTATTTACCGACTTCAAAAAAAGGAGGAGGCTACTACTACTACTACTACTATGTTCGGCTGATAGCTTGTTTTTAGTTTTTTTTTATGTAATAGACTGGCAAACGAGCAGACGGATTACCTGATGGTAAGCAATCAGCGCCGCCCGTGGACACCCGCAACGGAGGAGTTACGAGTGCGTTGCCGACCTCTTAGGTTATAGTGTGTTGGAGATTAAGGGATTGGGGAGGGATCGGGGTGGGGGAAGGATTGGGCCGCCGGCAACTTCACTCACACGGCGAAACACAACGCTGTGGTTGTTTCACGCCGGTTTTCTGTTAGGCCGTGGTATCACTAAAACTGATTTTATCACACTAGAATTTTACAACTGATGATTTTCGCCCAAAAAAATTTTAGCGTTATATCGTATAGGGGTTATGACACCGCATACAACTCAAGGGGAAGGAACGGGGGTGTTTTTAGTCAGTAGAAGTCTGACACTCTCTCTCGCCTTACCCTGGGCGGGAGAAGTCATTTAATGATTTTTCCCTGACAAGGGTGATCAACCCATTATTATTCTGGATTTGCGTATAATATAATGTACTTGTCTCTTTATAATCGCATCCATGGGGACAGGAGAAAATTCTGTTGCTTTCCAAATATGTACATATATATATATGAAGATAGCCTACTAACACACTAACCTATATAATAAAATTCTATTAGCATTTACTTGAATAGATAATAAATGGTAAATTATATTCTTGTGAAACAAAGCACAATAACTCACAGTAGTAATGATTAGAAAACTTGATGAAACGTCTGGCCTCTAAACAATATGGTCGTTATTCATTGAAGTCAACACACTTTCGTCCCAATTTGGAAACTGAACTTAAAAGTAAACGGAAAATGCCTCCCGTGACTGCCGTATTTGTCTAAAATAACTGACGGTAATGTCCTTTTCCGTAATCTTTTACAATCAATAGAAATACAGTTAATAATTCATTACGACTGTTTTTAATGGGTAAATAAAATAGATTTATTTTATTAACAGTTAGAGAAAAGATAATGTGGCCACAGCAAAAGGATGAATTTTTGACGAATATCAATATAATTTGCCAAAGTTTACGCGAAATAAATTTCGCGAGGTTGAGTTTCGCATCGCGTCGCGTCGCGGTTTTGCATGAAATCATTGAATTTTGTCACGTAAATTTTATTTCGTTGTGCGGACAGGCTCGTTATTTTCACAAATTTCTTTTGCGTTTTTATAAATTTATTCTTTCTCTATATATCGATTTTTGTAAATAAATGAGTAATAAATAAGGTAGTTTATACATTTGTTAAAAAAATACTGATATAAACTTCACTTTTCATCGTTTTAAAATTAAATAAAAAATATAACAAAAATTAATTTCCTAAGATTTCAATTTCTTATCAAGATGACTTATATGTATAACAAATAATAGAAATAATCAATCCAGAAAAAATATTTGTAAAATATTCCATTATCTGAACTGTACAGGAAGATGTAGGTACAGTTTAACTAATAAATATTACAGGCTTATAGAAAATTCCCATTAATATTTCCCATAGCTGGTAGTACGGCGGTTTTTATGGTGGGAATGACCGGTCTCCCGTATATGAAACGTCACATCCTGATGGGACGCCAATGCAAGGTTATCACAAGTTCGCACGGAATCAGTTCCTTCATGCAATCAAACATCAATTCTCAAACCACATTAGAAGTCATTAAAAGACTTCAGCAATCAGCTAATATCAATTTTAAAACAAAAATAATGAAGTCTAAATTTCAATGAATTTATTTTCTTTTACCTACCCACACCTATATTTTAACCCTGTGGAAATGCTTATTGATTCTGATTGATTTCTATCGCTGTCGGAATGTGAGAATGCTTATATTTCTTTTAAATTATGATATACCTACTTACGCAACAAAATCGATTTACACTTTTTTCTAATAGGACGATACTATAGTCAGACTTTTAATTCGATTCCTGATTTGACATTGACCACTGTCATTTTGTGAAATAATGATACCACATATAACAGTGTAGTGATGGACACAAAAATCGATAAACAATCAGTGAATCAGTTTCAGGACGGCATTCAAAAAATTACGGCTACCGAATGGTCTAAATGTGTATCCCATGTTTTCAAAGAAGAGGAAAAAATGAGAAAGCTAGATATGTTAATTGACAATAAATATCAAAGACACAATTCATAATAAATGTTACATAGAGTAACGGCGATAGCGATAGCGATGACGGCGACAATTTATAAAATGTCTGTTTTATTTGTCACGTTCCTTCATGATCACATTTTTTATTAATTTCACACACAATTACAAAAGAAAAGTCTCAGATCGTTAATTAATTGTCAAAACTAAATTATCGGTTCAGAAATATTTTATTTCCTGATAAACTTAGTTTACGAGAGTAAATTTATAAACGAGAGAAATCGATTCAGAAATATTCGATTTCCATATCGAATAATTTCGCAACGTCACTATTTATTACGTGTCATAACGTTGCAACACTGAAATTGTCAAATCTGGAATGGAATTAAAATTCCGAGTATAGTTTCTGAAATATTCATTCCTAGTACTTTATAACTAACATGGTTTTTAAACCCAGTGATGATCAAAATGTCTTGCATAACATTTGAAAATTGTTCTTTAAACATATGATTTTAAAAGCATTTTAACTGTGACAGAAAACTCTTTGACATCATGACGTCAATGGATGGTTGTCAAACGTTGCCTAGAGATTGTAAATTTCGTCGTGAATTGTCAATACGAGTTGGTGTAATTGGTAAGGCGTGTGGATTACACCACAGAGACCCCGAGTTCGAGTCCCGCCGTAAACATGAAGTTTTTTTAGTTGATGGAAGTTTTGTCGAACTTTCTGGAGTTATTTGTGTGAAAGAGATGAAAAATTAAAGAGTGAGAAGGAGAATAAATAAAAATGAATAGCGAAATTATTGGAAGGTTCTGGAGGCATGACGATCAAAAAGAATAACGAAATTGAATGTTCCAGAACCTGACCGGGGGTATATAAGCAGAACTGCGGCTCACCGCTGGCAGTTGAGTTCTAAGTCTAAAGCGATTCGGAAGAAAAGGAAGAAGTGAAAAAGAAGAAAAGTGAGTGAAATAGTGAAGTGCAGTGAAATAGTGAAGTGCAGTCAGTTAAGTGAGTTAAGTCAGCGTGAACGGCAAAGTTGTGTCAGTCGGCCGGACTCTGCTGGAGAGGAACGCCGATAACTTAACTCCGTGGACGCTGTAACTTAAGTGCAATAGAAAGTCTGAAATCTGGTATTAGTGTTTCATTTCATCCAATCCCGTAACCCAAGCCCGCATAGTCAGGAACGTGACGTCAGGCACGTAACATTTGGTGTCAGAAGTGGGATTGGAGAAAAATGCCGCTAGTGCCGCAGGACGTAAGAGGAGTGAGTACCCGTGCAATGGCAGAAGCGCAGCGTGTGAGGGAAGAAAGTGCTGCAGCTCAAACCAGCGATGCAGAAGCCAAGCCTGTGCAGGTGGATCTACTGCTACAGCTGCAGCAAATGATGGTAGAGCAAGCGCGCCGCCAAGAAGAACAGCTACGGGAGCTGAAAGAAGATCAAGCTCGTCGCCAAGAGGAGCATGCACGCTGTCAGGCGGAGCAGCTACGGGAGCTGAAAGAGGATCAAGCTCGCCGCCAAGAGGAGCAAGCGCGTCGCTTGGAAGACATGCATAAGGATTTCACGAAGGGACTGCAAAAGGCTGTCGAACGGGTACAAGAAGTGGAGGAAGGGTTAGGCAAGTTGGAACATCGCGTCAAGGCGATAGAGGAGAGAGTGGAAGAAGAGATCTCCAAAATCAAGCAGGAAGTGACAAGCCCAAGCCCTTTGAAGAGCCGAAGCCGTCTTGCAGCCGTTTTTGAAGCCCCAAATGCGGCTTCAAGTGCAACGAAAGGGCTAAAGATTCCCCATTACGACGGAACAACATCCTGGACCGCGTTCAAGCTACAGTTTGAGACACTTATGGAGGCTTATGGTTGGACTCAGAAGGAAGCACAGTCAGCCCTTACCCTGGCCCTCCGTGATCAAGCGCTCTCAGTGCTGGAAGCTATCGGCGCAAGTGGGGATCTCAGCTATAGTGCCCTCCTCGACGCACTTGAGGCACGGTTTGGAGACAGCCACCTCGAGCACGTGTACAGAGCGCAATTAAAAGAGCGTACTCAGCGTGCTAATGAGGGCCTACAGCAATGGTCCGTGGAAATCGAGAAACTTGTGCGTCGAGCTTTCCGGTCGACTCCGTCAATGATTGAAGGCACGCTTCTCCAAGCGTTCATTGACGGTATTCGGGACCCCGAAGTACGAGCCGCTGTTCATCTGGGCCATCACAAGAACATGAAAGAAGCTCTGGCCCATGCATTGGAAGTGGAAGCCGTGCGTGGTAACTCCCGTACCTTACGTCTGCGGGAAATGACGACAACGGAGCAGGTACCTCCACGCCGTCGGAACTTCATGTGCTATGGATGTGGAGAGCGTGGGCACATACGGAGCGACTGCCCGAAGAAGATGAACCGCCAGGACGCGGCGGTCTCAACTTCTGACCAGCAGGGAAACTTAAATCCAGCCAGGGCTGCGGGGTGGGCGCTGGCTGGTAGTGGAACAACCCCAACAATCTACATCAAGCAAACCAACGATGGAAATACTCTGGTGATAGACGGTCAAGTAAATGGGAAAAACAGTCAGCTAACATTAGATACTGGAGCTTCAAGGACGGTGATAAATGTTCGGCTGCTCGAGCAAAACATCAGGAAACACCTTAAACCAATTGTTGGCCTACAAATGAAATCAGCTACCGGCCAGCGCATACCGATAAGTGGAAAATTGCATGTAACAATTAAAATTGGGGAACGTGTTTATCGACATGAGGTTATTGTGGCCAAAATTCTGGATGACTGCATCCTAGGACTTGATTTCCTGCGAGGGCACCAGTGTAACATCGACTTAAAATCTGGAGTATTACTATGTGGAACTGAGGAAATTCCGATGAAGGGTGGAACCCTGGGAAAAGTTTGCTGTTTAAGAAGAACTGTTCTTGCACCAAAATCACAGACTCTCGTACCAATTGCATTACCTAGGAGGAGGGAAGGAAGTTTACCTCGAAGGTGCGCTGTGATTGATAAATCGGAACACGTAAACTCATGGCTACCGGCAAGAACTGTCGTGGGGTCATCTGATATCAACCGCATTCCGGTATTCAACTTCAGTGATTCAAAAATTACGATTGAAGAAGGAGAGCCTGTGGGCGTATTGGAAGAAGTGGCCTGGATAAGAAAATGCTCGGAGAATCTTGTGAAGAAGGACAGTACGGGAATTGACTTTGTAACGAAAATCTTAGACGAAAACAAAAGTCTGACAAAAGTGGAGACTATGAAAGCTAGAAATTTACTTCTTCGATTCTCTGATGTGTTTTCAAGAAGCGATGGTGATATTGGCCGAACTGGTTTGGTGAAGCATAAAATAAACACAGGTGATACAATGCCAATTCGTCAAAGGCCCAGACGCATACCATTCGCTCGTGAGAAAGAGGTTGAAGAAATGATTGACGATATGAGGAAAAATGACGTGATAGAGCCCTCTTCTAGCCCTTGGTGTTCACCTGTCGTGCTTGTCAAGAAGAAAGATGGTTCAACGAGGTTTTGCGTAGACTATCGACGATTGAATGATGTAACCAAGAAGGATAGCTACCCGTTACCAAGAATCGATGACACACTTGACACATTGAGTGGCATGAAATGGTTTTCAACGCTCGATCTGAAAAGCGGCTATTGGCAGGTGGATTTGGATCCCAAGGACAAGGAAAAGACCGCATTCTCAACTGGGAAGGGACTCTGGCAATTTAAGGTGATGCCATTTGGATTATGCAATGCACCGGCAACCTTTGAGCGTTTGATGGAACAGGTGCTGGCGGGACTGCTGGGCGAAACCTGCCTAGTTTACCTCGATGACATCATCATTGTTGGACGGGATTTTGACGATCATCTAAGGAAATTGGAAAAGGTACTCGACAAGCTGCGTGGAGCAAATTTAAAGTTGAGTCCAAAGAAATGCTCTTTCTTCAAGCGCGAAGTGAATTATCTAGGACATGTTATTTCTGAGAGAGGAATTGAGACTGATCCAGCCAAGACTGTCGCTGTTAAGGAATGGCCAACACCTAAAGACAAAACGCAAGTTCGGGCATTTCTTGGATTGTGCTCGTATTATCGGCGGTTTGTGAAAGGATTCTCGGACATTGCCAAGCCTTTGCATCGATTGACAGAGGAGAAACGTGCCTTTATCTGGGACGAGGATTGTGAGCAAGCCTTTCGAGAATTAAAGGAAGGGCTTTGTAACACACCAATTCTCGGATACCCCAGCGCGAAAGGAATATTCGTAGTAGATACGGATGCCAGCAATATTGGAATAGGAGGTGTCCTTTCACAACGCGATGGTGAGCAGGAGAAGGTTATTGCTTACTTCAGCAAGTCACTATCCAAGCCGGAGAGGAATTATTGCGTGACCAGGAGGGAATTGCTGGCCGTAGTTAAAACTCTGCACCATTTCAAGAAGTATTTACTGGGACGGAAATTTTTGATCAGAACAGATCACGCTGCTTTGAAATGGCTGCTTCAGTTTAAGGATCCCGAAGGCCAAGTAGCCAGATGGTTGGAACAACTTCAGGAATTTGACTTTGAAATCGAACATCGCGGAGGAAGAATTCATGGCAACGCAGATGCATTATCGAGACGCCCATGCGTGGAAGATTGCAAGCATTGTGCCAAGAAGGAAACTGCTTTTCTTAAGGTGATAAGGACTGATACTGTTGACGAGGCATGGGGAGATGATGCGATGAAATTAGAACAGGAAAGAGATGCAGATATTAAACCAATACTGGAGTGGCTACGAAGTGGTAACAAGCCAAGTTGGAGTGACGTCGCTCAATATAGCGCGGTAACGAAAGGTTTATGGGCACAGTGGAAAAGCCTTACGCTGCATAATGGACTTCTGTGCAGGAAATGGGAATCAACAAACGGCAAGGACGAGCATTTGCAATTGGTGGTGCCTCGTTCAAAAATAAGGGATGTATTAAAAGCGTTCCATGATGGATCTTCTGGAGGACATTTGGGAATTAGGAGGACTTTGGTGAAGATCAAGGAGAGGTTTTATTGGCTGCATTGCAAATATGACGTCGAAGATTGGTGCCGGAAATGCACTAGTTGTGCAGCTGTCAAGGGTCCACAAACAAGGAGCAGGGGGGCGATGAAAATCTACAATGTTGGTATGCCTTGGGAGAGAATAGCCTTAGACATCGCTGGACCATTTCCAATCACTGATTCAGGCAATCGCTACGTTTTAGTGGTTATGGATTATTTTACAAAATGGCCGGAGGTCTTTGCCATACCGAATCAAGAGGCAGTAACTGTAGCGACGAAGTTGGTAAACGAAGTATTCACCCGATTTGGAGTACCCTTGGAGATGCACAGTGATCAAGGACGGAACTTTGAATCCCAAGTTTTTCAGGAAACTTGTAAACTTTTGGGAATCCATAAGACTCGAACGACCCCTTATCATCCACAGTCAGATGGAATGGTCGAACGCTTCAACCAAACATTGGAGCGACACTTAGCAAAGGTGGTTGACAGCCATCAGAGAGATTGGGACACTTACATACCTCTCTTCTTGCTTGCCTATCGGACTGCTGTACATGAAAGAACCGCAAAGACGCCTGCATTTGCAAATTTTGGAAGGGAATTGAGATTACCGGCAGATCTTGTGTCGGGCTGTCCACCTGGTGACTCTCGCACCGGGTTTAGCGATTACATAAGCGAGTTAAGGGCAAAAATGTTGGACATTTATGAGCAGATCAGGGAGGCCGGTCTTCAAGCTAGTGATCGCGCAAAGACGCGCTATGATCGACGAGCCAATTCTGTTGGGTTTGAAGAGGGGTCATTGGTCTGGCTTCATAATCCAGTCAGAAGGAAGGGAAAATCTCCAAAGCTGCAACCGAGTTGGGAAGGTCCTTACGAGATAGTCACGAAGATCAATGACATTACTTACAGAATTCGGAAGTCTTCAAGGAGCCCTTTGAAAGTTGTCCATATAGACAGGTTGGCGAGGTATTACGGCAGCAACGATGCTCGGGACGAGCAAATCTAAGAGGGGGGCAGTGTGACAGAAAACTCTTTGACATCATGACGTCAATGGATGGTTGTCAAACGTTGCCTAGAGATTGTAAATTTCGTCGTGAATTGTCAATACGAGTTGGTGTAATTGGTAAGGCGTGTGGATTACACCACAGAGACCCCGAGTTCGAGTCCCGCCGTAAACATGAAGTTTTTTAGTTGATGGAAGTTTTGTCGAACTTTCTGGAGTTATTTGTGTGAAAGAGATGAAAAATTAAAGAGTGAGAAGGAGAATAAATAAAAATGAATAGCGAAATTATTGGAAGGTTCTGGAGGCATGACGATCAAAAAGAATAACGAAATTGAATGTTCCAGAACCTGACCGGGGGTATATAAGCAGAACTGCGGCTCACCGCTGGCAGTTGAGTTCTAAGTCTAAAGCGATTCGGAAGAAAAGGAAGAAGTGAAAAAGAAGAAAAGTGAGTGAAATAGTGAAGTGCAGTGAAATAGTGAAGTGCAGTCAGTTAAGTGAGTTAAGTCAGCGTGAACGGCAAAGTTGTGTCAGTCGGCCGGACTCTGCTGGAGAGGAACGCCGATAACTTAACTCCGTGGACGCTGTAACTTAAGTGCAATAGAAAGTCTGAAATCTGGTATTAGTGTTTCATTTCATCCAATCCCGTAACCCAAGCCCGCATAGTCAGGAACGTGACGTCAGGCACGTAACATAACGAACAGCAATCTATCCATACTAATGTTACCAAGCTTAAGTGCTTGTTCGTATGTTTGTTTCGTTTGGAAGTGCTGGTTTAAATTGAACTATTATTTTTTTATTAGATATAGTTATATAGTTTATAGGTAACTAGTTCCCAAATACAACTGAATTATGTTTAAAAAGCAAATACATTTACAACTCTCAAACTAATAAATAAAACAAAAACAAAGAAGTATAATCTATTGATTCAACGTAATAAAAACATACATATAAATGTGTTACAAAGCGCGGAGGAAATGGACACATCGACGCCATTGCGAGATGACCGCACAAAAACACACAACGGTTATTTACTAAGCGGCTAACTGTAAATATGAAGCTTGCTTTAACTTTACACATAATAATAACTGGCGATCCGACACTATCAAGCCGTTATTGTTAAAAACGTTTTTATTGACGCCTCTTTACTGATGTAGTTATATTTAAGAGTTGGTAAAGCCGACTTGACCGTAGTAATACCACGGCTCAACAGAAAACTGGTGTGCAAAGACCACAGCGTTGTGGTTCTCCGTGTGAGTTAGGTTACGGAAGGCCCAATTCTTCCCCTCCCAAATCTACAAAACCCCTAACCTTAATCCCAAAAACATACTTGGAAATAGAAACTCCTACACAGGTTTTGAACGTAGGAATTGACATTAGCTAGAGAGTGATTCCAAATAGGCGAAGGATGCCATGGACAAAAAGCTAGTCTTTTTCGTAGATAGTT